ATCATCTTACATATCTTAGTTAACAATTTTCATCTATTGACAAAGTTCAAGATGTTAGAGATGAAAGCGTAGTTGCTTTATCATTAGTAAACAACTTCATGTCGATATATTTTTTTATATGTTGAAATGAAATTAATTGATTAGAAAAGAAATGCCATGTAAAGTCAATGTTAGTTTCATTCATGATTTCTACTAGTTAAAGTAGGACGATAGAAAATGTTGAAGCTTAATAGAAAAAAAACAAATCTGAGATTTTATTTATACTAAGAACAGTAAATTTAAGGGATATATATATATAATGACACCAGAAGGAAGTAAGGAGTGACGTCATGAACAGAATGTCTGCACTACAGGTAATAAGTGTTTCTACGCCACTTACATATATTTACAGAACTTCACCACAACTAGTCATTATAATGCAATTTCTTTCGTTTATTTTGCCATCAATAACAGAGGTGAATCATTCCCAATTGTTTTCTTAACTCACAAAGAAACATGAATATCATAAAAAAAGATAAACTCTGAATCATACAATAGTTTTTCGCCGAGTATTATCATATCTATATCACTGATCATAGCATCAGTGAAGAGTACGATAACTTATCTTTTGTGTGCGTGTGGCGACATTTTTATTATTATTATTATTAACATACATAATTCTTGGAGAAGTATAAGAAGAACATTCAAAAGTTCATCGGTATGTTACTCTTTTCTTTTTCTGAGTCATAATCAAATGATGAATCATTGTAAACAGAAGTGTCTCGAGGTCGCCAGGATTAGATGAAGTTAATGACTCAGAAAGTCAATGGAAAGATTTTCGTATAAAATGTGAGCGCTTGGGTGAGATTTCGAGCTTCATTTTTTGAAAATTTCTTAAGATTGGCGGATGATCCACTTCCTCTGGACATAAATGGAGTTAAGCGATATTTGCGACGATTCTATCTGATTAACTTTTCATATAGTGATGTTTTTTTTACAATCACGTGTACCACGATGTTTGAAGTTAGATGAAATGCGAAAGAGAAACATTGTCAGTGTGAAATATATGGAACAAGCAATATTTAGCATTCACTAATAGAAGAGTTGTCGATAAAGAATGAACATTAAGAACTCAGCGAAGCACATTTAAATCTCTCGTTACAATAGAAAACCTCGGGACTTCTATAATGTCCAAGTATTCAAAACTTGTACAGGATGTTTCTACTATGTGGAAGCTACTAATATGACTTGAATGTAGATTTTCTTAAACAACGGCACAGGATGCGTGACCTGCAATAGTAATATTTTAAGTCTACAGAAGATCGAAATCACTTAATAGATCGTGATCTGATGAAGTTCTAGTTTTTCATTATTATCAGTAGTAGTCAGAAGAGTACATGTCATACCAACGACCAGTGTTTCGTTAGAAATATTATTTAATTCAAATGAATTGACATTTACTCCAAGACAAATACGTTTATCACCAAGTTAAATTAATAACATATATATTTATTCTTATGTTTGGTTTATTCTTGTAAAAAATGCAATGAAAAGATGATCCTAGAGGTCGGATATAGAAGAATCCTTTGTGTTCTGAAAAACAGGATGACTAGGTGATAATGACTTGCAGAATATAGAACAGGATAAAGAAAACCGTTCTGTTAGAAAATTTAATTCTCTACATAACTGTTGACTTTGATTTTCAAAAAAGATTTTATTTATCAGCATAAAATGAACGCCATTAACATCTACTCATTCATAGAATTCAGAAAGTTAAAAAAGGAATCTTTTGAAATTTTAAATATGCTAAAATATCTTACACAAAATTTCGGCATAGTAATTAATCAGACACAGAAAAAACTCTTCTTCAATACGTCTACCTATTTTGTAAATACATTTGATGCAGTCGAATCATTTCAACTGTCCAATATTATTATACCTGTAGCACCAATCTTGCTTAACATATGCATTCGTATAAAACTAGAAGATCATACTTTGATATTGATCCCGTGAAGTGAGTTTATGTCAACAAAAAAATTCTATTTGAAGGACAAAATTAATCGCTTTTTAAAGAATTAAATGCTCTATTGAGTGAGATCAGAATCGGAATTTAAAATTTATCAAATTCTTGAAACGTGGGTGGGTGTGGGTGTGGATGTAGGCGTGGGTGATCCTCCAACTCATAGCCACAGCCACACGCACACCCACATCCACACCCACACACACACCCTATATACAACACTAATAGAAATAATATTATTTGATGTGGTCAACTTTCAACATGATTCCCTAACATACCCTATTCCAAGATCGATATCAATCACATATTAACCAATCAATTTGATACGATAGATGATCAGTAAACATTGACAAAGAGTTCGATTCGACATTTGATATTGAATTACTAATGTCGATAAAGATAGGGAATAGGAAAATAATACAATTTATCATATAAAATGCAAACGACACCACGTATAGATATAGACAAGATGGTCCTAGTCCTAGTTCCATGAGGAAAGGGGCCGACACCCGTTTCTTTCTAACCGGGACTATGACCTAAAACGGCTAGCTCCACTCATGTCTAGTCATATGATCAAGGAGGATTTCTTCCACCTTTTAGATTGCTTTTGAGAATGTGTGTATGGGTGATTTGGAGATGTGCATTCACTCACACCCACCCATAATATGCAAGAAATGATATGGGTTCTATACATCGTATGAATCATTTGTTCTCTTGCAAAATAATGACAACAGTGATACTGGTATTTAAGCACAATTGAATCAAATCTTTTTCAGTAAAATTATTATGGTGCTTTTAATATTATTTTCAAACGAACTTTTGAGACTCTGATGTGAAAATCAATAAATCATACTTCTAATGAAAGATATTTCAGGAAAGAAAAGTTCTGTCCATCTTTACGTGATATATTCTAAAGATTTTTCAACGAGGTATAGAATCTAATGATGATGACACACGGTATTTGCAGCTGTTGTGTTATTCGTCAGTGAGAGAATTGTCAAACTACATCCTTTTCAGAGACACATACGAAAACATATCTCTCTGTCGGTTTCCACCTGTTTACCTCAAAAATAAAATTTGACTAAGTTTAAAAAACGATTACTGTCATATGAATTTCAAAGAATTAACTTGAAACAACATACCTACTCTCTCGGAATGGGTCTATCTTAATAAAACATCAGTTTACAAATACGAGTGGCGATCAATTTTCTGTTAAGTAAGTTCCAATGTTAAAATTTGCATCTCTTGTTTTTCATTTTCAATTCAATTCACATTAATCATACTATGGTTGAGAAAAAAATGGATTTACTAATAGTTACTTAAAATTTACCTAATCATGATGCAATAAGAAAAAAAAACGTGTGCTGAAACTTTTATACTTCTTATTGAATGAAAGAAGAGAAGAAGAGGAAGAAGTTACTGTAGCCATTTAGCAGAATATCCAGAGAACAAACAAAAGAAACGGCGAGTCTTGCTTCGTAGTGTTTATCTTTCATTAAATCTATTTTCAATGCGAATTTGGTGAGGACAACATCGCACATGCATCTCTCTATTCACCTCGTGTATATACTGACGAAAAAAAAACGAACACAATTCATCGCTGCATTTCACCGAATTCTTCATCCTGATATTACTTCCATCTTCAGTTCTAGTAAATTCTATGTGAAAGCTCCGACAAATATTTCTATCAAATTTCCATTTGATTTTTCTGCATTTAGTATTAAAACACTCCGTTGCATTGTACGAGCACTCAACATCAGTCCATTCGAATATAATACAGAGACCGAAAAACAAGACTATCGATTAGTGATCGAATCGAGTTATTCGAAGAACGTCACTTATTTAATGATGTTGTTTTAGTTCGATGTGGAATTTTCGTCGGCTATTTAAAATCATCGAGATATGAAGTCGAAAAGGCTTATAGATCAAAAACAGAGAATTATTCATGTTGGCTTTATCATAAAGAATTTATTTTTGATGCTGCACGACCTTATCAAGCACTATTTGCTTGTTTTCTTGGATTTATAGCGTATGATGATTGTTTATTTTTATTAGTGACTTATGTAGGTTGCTTGTCATTCTATTTGCTTGAAAAGACAATCCTGATTCAGTGGCGATTCTTTTCGCATTATTCACGTGCTCTCCAAGACGAATTGGATCGATGTAATATTAAGAATATTGCTAGTCTTGAAACTCTTCTGTGCAATGCGGCAACCATCGATTGGTGTTCCATTTAATAGCCGAGTATTTCTTTTGAACAATGGTCGGATCATTATGCTAAGTACCGTTTTTCTCAATAAAAGGTGGTTGATCCGAACTGATTCCCTATTTCGTCTCGTCAAAGTAGATCAAATGTCTCATATTGATAAATATCGAATTACAGACAATTTTATTAGAAGTTTTATATCATGGCCACCGTACGGTGATCAGAGTAGGCAATATGTACGACTGCACGATATATTGACGACGAAAAATGTCGAATACTTCTGTGTGTAAAAATAAGTGAATCAACGCACAGATTGATTCCTTTCATAACTACTGACTTAATGCTGATTAGAGCATAATCATAAAAGTTTGCGTAAAATTAACGTTTGAAAACGTCTGTTGATAGAGAGACGAAATTTTGTTCTGTACTTATATTCAAATAACTTTTCGATATTATTAAAATCCTAGCATATATTATATGTCAACAGTGTAGCTATAAAGTCATGAAATAGTATTTTATGTCAAACTGAAATACTTTCTTAATCATTATGCAACAAAAACGTGTTCTTTATCAGCAAACAAAATAACCCAATGATAAAATATCAATGTTTTGATTTCTTCTGCTTTATTCTGGAGTTTTGATAGTGGAAAAAGCGAAATAGTTTCTTATCTACTAAAGTCATTATCGTATCAAAACAACTTAGTATTTTTTATTAAAAAAAAAACAAATTCCTGCAAAATTCGTTCAGCTAAACCATCGTTCATAGCTCATCTTCGAGCTACACAATATTAGGTGGTCACTAAAGATAAAGATCAACTCGATGACTGTTTCATTTGTTACGATCAAATTATATTTAATTCTAAATATGCTATATGGCCATGTCCCTCTGGTCACTACTTTCATTTGAAGTGTATAGTAAAAGCGTTGCGCGAATCCAATCGATGTTCACTATGTCGATACGAAGTTGAAGGAGTTCTATTGCCTGACAAAGATGAAATCCAGCAATGGTACATGGAGATGCCTTCAACAACTTCATCCCAACAATAGTTGATATCAACGCTTTTAGATAATCAACAAATAAAGCACCCATACCATATTGATTTGAAGTTCTCATGTAAAAAAATGGCTCAAGAAAAATCGGATTCCAAACAATTATACACTAAAGATTGACAGAAATTTCTTTTAGATCCCTGCTTTTTATAGAATATAATTCGAAACATCGTTTAGCTAATTGAACAAAACATTCGACTATAGTTGTGATTAAAGGGTGTGGGTGTAGATGTTTGTATTGGTTTGATCTTTTTCAGTCACCCCAACCCACATTCACTTATAATTTCTGAAATAATACCCTTTGATTATTCTGATGAATACATTGGAATCTACTTTCAATGTGTCTTATCAAACAAAATAGTACATCTAAAAGATTTCTTTCAAACGGCGCAAATTGACTGCAAAGGATCATATTCGCTTCATCGATTACAGTTCGGTCTCACCTTGCTCTAATGCACGTCCTCGTCCTCAAAGAACACACAAATAGGACGCCAAGCACTTTGATATTGATCGACACTAGCGAACCCTACTACATGAATCATCATAAGTTTCATATTTGTTTTACCGTCGTTTCTTCTAGCAACCACACCACGACTATTAATGGCCAAGAAAATAATCGTAAATAAATTGCACAGAACGATAGAAGTAAAATATAGCTTTGACGGCAATCACATACCTATTTAACATGCATCATTACTCCTCGCTCTTGATGCATTATTAGTCGTTGCTATTTTACAACACATCACTACAGTTTAGCTTTTCTAGAGTAATCTCGAGCACACGATCTTTACCAGTTCTTAACCAGTGTAGCAGTATGGACATCGGCAAAATCAGGTCATTTACCTCAGACGATGAAGAAACATTTAAATTAGTAAGATTTTCTTTCAGTACTGATGATATCACTTTGTTTACACACAAGTTTTTTTTTCTCTAGTACAAGAAAGATATTGAAAAGGCTGTATGCAAAGCATTTCCATCGCTTCCAGCCGATTTCGAAGCGAAAGCCGTTGGTATCAGTGTCGTGAACGCATGTGCTCTACTCTATACCTATATGGTGAGTATCATTGTGGGTGCTTCGAAAAAATGAAAAATAAACTTAAATATTTAGATCGCTTTGCCCGATGGACAGTTCGCCAAAGTCAAGTTCACTGTTGGAGGAGACCTGGCACCAGGAATGGAAAGGCGAGGGCCCACATTCAGAGTCGATCCTGAAGCTCATTCCAGTATCGATTCATGAAGTACAAGCACACATTTATTTCATAGCTTTCATCATGAAAAACTTTACTTATGCTTAGTATCATAAAAAATCTCACATTTTAACTAACAAAACAATTAATAAAACTCCATCTCAGTATCCTTTGAACTATATTATAATAATTTATTTTCACATCATTGACCAACACTTATGTTGAAATAGCTTTTATTGTCATTTTTCTATCAAGAATTATGAGAGTATAACTAATGCCTATAAGGATGAATGAAATTTTACAAATAGTGCAAATCTACCGTTAAAAAGAATCGACACAATTATTAGTTATGTATCCTTGAAACGGTTTATTAGCAACATGAATCAAATATCCAGACTGTTCTAGAGAAGGAATTAATCGACAGCAATGTTTATTTTTTCTACTAGCTTCTGTTTACAAAATGAAAACACTGTATTTCAATCACCTTTGTCGTTTACGCTCGTTCTGTGTTTTTTTTTACAGTAAAAAAAGAAAAGAACAAATAATTATATTACCAGTACAAAATAGATGACATCGTATGTACGAAAAACTAAACACGAACACGTCGATTTCAGACGTTATGACTGTCAAGAGTGTATCAATCATGGACTGCAAGAAAAAAACAATATGTTCTCATTGTACAATTCGTTATCCATTAGCACAGGACTCATTGAGTAACAACGCACATGCTATGTGCAGAATGAACTGTGCTAATAAAATTTGAATTAGTTTTTTTTTTCGTTATTTGTATGATGAATAATCTTTCGTTGAAATTATATGTGATCGCGATAATACCTTTTTCCATCAAAGCACACTTTTAGTCCAAAGTTTTCTTCTAGCTATTAAATGTTGAAATGTTGAAAGTATTACTGATATTTTATTTATCAGAGGAAAAATGACGACAATGAGAACAATAGCATGCTTCATTTTGTACAGAATATTCCAATTATATTTAGCAATGTGCCAAATCTTGAGTATCTGATACCAAGATTGCAGATTTTCGGCATGAAAATCTTCCAATCTAAACAAATCTTTGTGCTAATAACCAACGATTTTATTCGCTTTGCTCGATATTGGTATTAGAGTTCGTAAAACTTTAAAAAAAATCTAATATTTAGCAGGAGTTGATGAAAGCTGTGATCTTTTTGTGGTTTTCATCAAATTCTACCACATCTTAGAATTATTTTTAAAAATTTGACGAAATGTGATACCGATATGGCATAAGAGAGAAAAAATGGGTTATAATATACACAAATATTTGATCGAATTTGAAAGATTTTGCTTGATTCGAATTTAATATGCAAGCGACTCCTGTCCAAACTAATTTAGTAGTATCTGCAAAACCTTGCTAAAAAAACTGACATTATCTAAACACAATAGAAACTCTTGAGCTTCTAATACTTCTTTTCTGAGAATGGTTTAATAGAATTTTACCATGATAAATCAGATATCTTCAAGTTAGTTTAGAATTTGAACTATGCACAAGAGCCGAGAATGATGCATTCAAATCAAATATATAAGTTCTATCTGTTGAATAAGTCAAAAATCAAAATCATCTGCATGTTAAATCTATTGTAAGTCATACAAGTGATAATGTCAAATGAACAATACTAGCATTCTTAGTTTTCAAATGTACAGAAATATTGAATTAATTCAAGACGTAAAAGTTTGATTTATTTGTAGAAAACAAAGAAATCACAATTTGATAAATCCGATTGATATTAATCTCATGATGTTTACATTGACATGACAAATTTATTTAAAAGATGAAATCAACAGTTTTATATCTTCAAAGAGAGTAAAATCAAAATATGGGTCAATCTACATTATGTTTGTAATCAAGCGACATCTAATAAAATTTTTAACTGGTTATTTAACTTTCACCTATCTATACGTGTCTATCAAAGATCAATTTAAGTTGTAAACTAGATTTTAACAAACTAAAATTCATTTTAAATTTAGTTTCTTACTTGATAACGATAATGCTAAATTCTTGTGTTTGATAGATACTTCATATTTAAACGTTCCTGTTTCATATCAAATAAATTAGAAGTTGTATTTAGCAGAATTTCTATTAATCTAATGCCTTCCAGTGATCATCAATATCGAAAACTAAACCATTATGATGATGCATATCTTATATCGGTAAGCACATTCTATTACAAATCAGAATAACTTATATTTCTCAACAATGAGACTTTGATCAGTTCCATCTCTGTTTTTTTTTTGGAATCTTTAGCATCAGTAATCAGACAATATTTTCAATAAATTCTTCATATTAAAAAGCATTATATATCTATCACTAATATAAATTATGTTATTTTACGTGGTCAACTTCCAACATAAATCCCTTACATATTGTATCTCAAGATTTTCTTCTATTACTTATGTCGATATAGATAGAGAATAATGAACTAATAAAATCAATTATTATAAAATATAAACGACTTGATATGTAGATATCAGCAAGATGGTCTCGCTTATGACTAGTCTGTCTACCATTTGCAACCAACTCGACTAATATGAAATCTATACCGTTACCGATCTTGTTTTTTCCCAAGGATTTCTTATTCCTTACGTGATTTACTATAGAATTCAATGGTGGATTTTTACCATATCTAGAACTTTAAATTTCCTGCAATCCTACCCTTCCCTCTCCACTTTTGATATCGTGAGTAATTTTTCTTATTCACTCGTCGAATTTTTAACTTCTTTCAATGCAAAAAAACTATCGAATGGTTTATATATTGGCGCGATTCCTTTTTTTTCTTCTTATACATCATATTCGATTATCATGAAGTAAAAATCATGTGTGAACGATCATCATTATTTCTTATTGAAGCAAAATCAATTTTATATGATCTTTTGAAACGTACTTTAGAATTATTCGACTTATGTTTTCATTTCGTTGAACATTATCGTATTGATAAATATTTTATTGAACGTGAACAAAAACGTGATTATAATTATTTTTCTCTTTCTAAACCATGTAAATTAAATTTTAATATTATATCTGATATTGATATATATCTTCATCGTTTATATACATCATGTCGTTTAACAAGAAGTAATTTACGTTCATTACATGCTTCTCGAATGTTATCATCACATGATTATATAGTTATTGATGATGAAATTTATGAATTAATTAAATTTTTTCAATTAAAAGTCAATAAACAATGGCATCAATATCAATCAAGAGAAAAAGAACAAGAAAAAACAAATAAATTTCAACAATTTGATCATATTATTAATAGAAGATATCATTCACAACGTATGATTCATAATTCACAAACAATTGAATCATTTGTATTTCTTCCTGAAACTTCAAAACATAATAATAATTCTCAACAAATAAATTCATCTAATAAATTACAATCAACAAATTCTCAACCAATAGATGAATATCATCATATATTAATAATATTTCGAAGAATTTCTTATTTTTATCAATTACTTATTGATGAATTATATGGCGTTCATAGTGTACAAGATTCAGATATTCTTCAACTAATTGTAGTTAATATTATTCGATTACTTTTATTTATTGCAAATAAATTAAAACAATATATTAAAATTAATTCATCATCAATAATTAATAATAATCATTTTCGTATAAAACGAAATGAAGAAATTTGTCGTGTGGAAAAAAAACCAATGTCAACAACAAAATCAAAATTTAAATTAATAGAAATTCATCCGACTAATATTAATACTTTAGCATTATCAAAATCTTTGAATGATGGAAATTTCAATGAAGAAAATAACGATAAAAATATTGAATATGTTCGAAATGATAATCATTCATCAAATATTATACAAGATAATCAAACGAATTCATTAGATTTTGATGAAGATGAATTTTATCGTTTAGCTAATCTTGAACGAGACGATTAAATTCATTTCTATTCATTATGAATAACATTATTTTGTTATTCTATAATTCATCAGTCACGACTATTGTTGAAATGTGAATTTCTTATTTTCAAATAGTTACTCGCATAAAGTATTTAACAGAGATCCATGAAAAATGATATTGTTTGAGCTTGATATGTTCAACTAGACCGAACTTCTACCGGAGTGTATTGAACAGGTTTTATCTTATGAGCGGTTGCACTTGAATAAAACATTACTTCCGACTTATTCACAGAACATTATGATTTTCAAATAATATATGCAGTACTTGTGAACAGCTTTTGTTCAAACAGAAAAGCAGTATCTTTAAAACAAGAACAACATACTAGTGATACATTGAACCGTGTGGAAAAAGTTTGAATTTTTGCTTATTGAGAAAAACATGGTACTAGAATCGAAGTTTGCTTCAATATGTCTATTAAAATCTGATTGTTTGTTGAAAAGCCATACATATTTATTTCTCAAGAGAAAATTTCGATGGTTTTTTTCTATAACAAAAAAAATTGATTTTTCTAAATCATCCCATTTATTTTCTGTTAAATCCATCTTTTTTTTCAGATGTTATTTGTTGTTCTTGTTATAATCATTAGTATATCCTTCAGTGAATGTCAAACAACAACTGACGATGTTTCAACACGTCAACATGATTTTCAAGCTTGTATCCTTTTTTTTGCTATTGCTATTCGTTTTTTTTTTTTTTCATAATAGCGGGAGTTTTTGTTTTCACTATATAATTAATTACTTTGCTTATTTTATACGAAAAAAATATATATAGAATGTCAAGTTCAAATAAGCAAATTAATTTCATCCCATTTCTTAATCAAATCTATGAAGATATTCAACGTGAATGTTTAGAAAAAAGAAGTTTATTTATTGATACAAAATTTCTTCCACAAGAAGCATTTATTATTGATAGTGAAACAAAAAAAAATATTATTTGGCGACGTCCATATGATGTAACTGATGAACCAAAATTTTTTGTTAAGACACCTCATCGTCGTGATCCAGGTCAAGGTGAATTATCAGATTGTTGGTTTATTGTAGCTGTTGCTAATATAACACTTCATCAACAAATATTTGAACGTGTTGTACCATTAAATCAAACATTTGATAAACAAAATGGTTATACAGGTTTATTTCATTTTCGTTTTTGGCAATATGGTTCATGGTATGATGTTGTTATTGATGATTATTTACCATTTTATAAAAAAACTATTCAACCATGGTGTTCATGGAATCGTCAAGAACCAAATGAATTTTGGGTTGCATTAATAGAAAAAGCTTATGCAAAATTAAATGGTGGTTATAGAAATTTAATTGGTGGTGCACCTATTGAAGCATTTACTGATTTAACAGCTGGTGTTGAACAACGTTTTAAATTAAATGAATCAATTAAAGAACATAAACAATTTTTTAATTTTCTTATTGATAGTTTAAAACATTCATGTCTTATGGCATGTTCAATTAATCCAAAAAATGATGGATCTAATTTAGAAGAAATAAAACCTAATGGTCTAGTTGTTGGTCATTCATATTCAATAACTGCTGCACGATATCTTCAATTTAAAAAACAATTATTATGTATGATACGTTTACGTAATCCATGGGCAAATGAAATTGAATGGGCTGGTGCTTGGCATGATTCAGATATTAGATGGAATGATCTTGATTTCAATGAAAAACGAAGAATGTCATGGCAAGATTCTGAAGATGGAGAGGTAGAAACAATTTTTCATTTGCATATCAATCGGTAATATGAAAGAAGACAGCTTTCTTTCGGCATAGTGAAACATAATTCAACCAAAATCTTCTGTCTACTATTACAGTTTTGGATGGCATTTCAAGATTTTTTTGCTGAATTTGATATTCTTGAAATTTGTCATCTATCACCGGATACATTTAAAGAAGAACTTCATCTTAATACAAGTTCTCATCAAGTATTATCTCCTATAAATCATGAAACAATAACATCATCAATAATTAAAGATCATCGAACATCAATACGTATGTCAATACCAACATGTTTAGTCACAGATTATTTACCTATTCAACGTAAAACTTGGTCATGTTTATTATTTGAAGGACAATGGATTAAAAATATTTCAAGTGGTGGTCGTTGTGTGACAACATGTGAACATGGATGTAATTTTTGGAAAAATCCACAATATGAAATAGAAACAAGAGCTGAAGATGAAACAGTTAAATGTGCTATAATTATATCATTAATGCAAAAATATAATCGACTTAAATCAATAGATAATCCTATTGATCGATATGATTATATTCAAGTAATTGAAGAATTATATTTATAAATCTAAATTTTCTTTTCTTTTTCTCAGGCTCGAATTTATAAAATAAAACTGGATAATTCAATACCAAAATCATCTCCTTCACGATCGCATGTTCATCATATAGATACAAAAACATATGAAAACGATGATTTAGAATATGTTGGTTATACAGGTTCATATATTAATCGACGAGAAGTTACTCTATATTTACGTGTACCACCTGGAAAATATCTTGTTATTCCGAGTATTTATGAGGTAGTTAAATAATTTAAACAAAAACTTTTCAAAATACTTGTCTCTAATTTAATAGCCTAATCGAGATGGTCATTTTTTATTACGAATTTTTTTGGAAGATAATTATTCAATCATACGATTACCAATTCTATCTCCTATGGCATTAAATTTTAATGAAGAATTAACTCGTTTAACAATTTCTACTCCAGTTAATTTATCACTAAAATCAACATCAATTAAAAATAATTTCTTGAATTGTCTATGTCCATACGATTGTTTATCATTGAATAGAAATGATAAACTTTCTACAAAATCTTCTCTAACATTTTTTGAAAATTTTAATAATCATAAACAAAAACAAAAAAGCGAAATACATATTTTTCATTCTAACTAGTTAATTTTCCTTAACTTTATTTTATCTATTCTTATTCGAAAAAAAAAAAAACTAGATCAAGCAATGTTCAAAACTAAACGTAAAGAACATCATTATATTATTCAAACATTAGGACAAATGCAAACAGATGTCAAACGATATAAAGCTGTACAAATGTTAATGGATCAAATATTTAAAGTAAAATCTTAGAATGAAAAACTTTATAAAAAAAGAAATTTTTTTTTTATAGGTGCTTAATTCAAGTCGTGTGGCTCTAACAAGTGCTGGATTTGTTCCATCAGTTTCTCCTTTTCCAACTGAAGAAGCAGTTCGTGAACGTACGTTTTATTCTTAAAACAAATTGAGAAATATAATATTTAGTAGATGAAATGGTCAGTAAAAATCTATTAGCATAATCCCTTCAGAATTAAAATGTAAAACATCATGTATCTGTTGTTGTTATTTTCAGCATCTTTCTATATTTCACAATACTCGTTTTAGATCGAGTTTTACAAAAAAAACTATATAAATAATCAGTATACATATTGAACGTGTAGAGGCTCAAAAGAACATTTAATAGAAATTTAAAGAACGAATAAAAATAAGAACTGAAGTATTATATTAGCAAAGTAAATTTAGCCTTTATTAATAGTCATGCAAACAACATGTTGGTTAATTTAATTCCTTTAGAAAAAAAGTAATTAGTTGCATTTTAATTTTCTTTCTTTGTCAATGTGAACCATACTCCAAGTTCATATACAAGGTTACCACCTTTTCTGCTTTTCCATATGAGAAATTTTGGTTTATTTTTTATTGAAAAAGTTCAGACAATAGAATCCATTAATATTAAGTATGTTCTGGTAATTTTCGTCTACAGTCTATTACTGATATTTTATTTCAACAAGCAACGTCAATATCGTAAGTGACTTTTTCTTTCAATTGAATGTCAGTACATTCAATGACTACAGAAATATAAATTCTTTGAAAAACTTAACTGTCTCATGAACATGCACAAACATATGTTCTCTCAACGAGAATTGTTAACGGAAAACTAATCAAATAGTTAATGTAACTATATCCAAGAAAAAATGAAGTGCTTACTAAAATATTCACCTTCTGTATATATTATTTATTATGTTGTGGAACTTTGAGGATGAAGAAGTACTATAGAAAGAAGCAACAAGTTATTGAGACCTATAGGAATGCGAAGAACTCATAAAACATAGATTTCCGCATTGTTTCCGTTTCTTTTTACTGCTTCCAGGTCGAACAAACACGCTCGTAAACGACTGTAAATTAACATATTTTGACGTAATACATCAAAATACGATCGTATACGGATGTCGTATATATCGTCCTGAGCTTTTGTTTCCATCGTTTCTGACTTGAGCAAGTGACAATCCTGTTCATATACCTAATATTAGTGTAGATTCATTGTTTGATTCTCTACTTTTTATGGATTTCTCTTGCTAATATTGTAGAGACGATTTTCTTCTTTGATTCGAGCCCGTCGGTTTGATTCCTGGACTCGACTTTTCGTTCGTCATTGCCTTTCGAATATTTCATATTCCCATACACAGATCGTAGTTCATTTATCTTGATAAAGGAAGGTCAACTGCTCTACGTGTTATTTACATTTGTTCTGCTACATCAACTTGAGTATTACATTTCGCATTGATGTGAAGCTTTAGATTTCTTTCGAGTTTTTAAAATTGAATCATTCTTTTCTATATTTATACTCTGTCGTTTCAATTTCCTCAATTTAATTGATTGCTAATAAATTTTATTTATGAATTTTTAAGTTTATTTAAAGCCCTAATTATTGAATAAGTAACTATTTAAGTAATTTATTAATCACTCATTTATTTTACTGACTACTTAAATGATAGTTAATTAACTTGTAGCAATATTATCATTTAGAATTGTCATTACTTCTTGAAAATGTTCTTTTTCTTGGCGATCTTGCACTTTTTTTTCCTGATGTATTTCATCGTTTTTATGATCAAGATCAACAACGTCGAACATTAACATCATGGTCCTATTCATTTGCTGCTGAAACAGAATTCTATGATGAAAAATCATTA